AATTTTACCTCACAATATATATACCAAAGAAATATCGCATTTGTTTAACTTGAATACGTACATCTACCCATTCTTTAGCTATAGAGGTTGGAAGGTATAATAATATACCTAGAGAACGTAGATATTGTAAACAGTGTAACTCCCCCTCTGAATTAGAGGACAAATTTCATTGTTAATTGGTCTGTTCTAAATTCCAAAATCTCAGATCTCGTTTTATCAAAAGCTATTATTGGAAAAAAACATCTGTGTTTAAAGTCGTCCAGTTATTGAGTGTCCATAATATTAAGGAATTGTGTATACTAGGAAAATTCATATATGAGGCAAACAAATTAAGGGTATTATAATGGAATATGATTGCTTTCATCCTCTGTACATTGTCCATAATTTGTGTAAAATATGTATTGTATACTGATGGGCCAATGGCCCAAAGTAGATAATCCACAACTTATGTCCTCAGTAGAATCACAGAATTTCCCTTACTCTAAAAAGGAGGGCCATCCTCGAAATTCAGGGGCAACACAAAGCATTCAACTATTATTATTATTCACAAGTCCAGGTTAATTTAATATTCATTACATACAAATCTTTTTTGTTTGTTAGGTTTAGCGAGAGACATATTTGTATTTGTTGGTTTCTATTACTTGTACAGTGGGTTTTTTTCATTTCAAAGGGAGACAATTCTTACTTCTTTCTATGAAATGAATTTTGTCTCTAATCTTGAATAAAACATCTGAAATTTTACATTATGAAACACATAATACTATTAATAAATGCATTTAAGTATATGACTGTGAAGCTAGTTATTCTCTGATAATGCAACTTCGAATGAATTTCAATTTATCGAGGTACGTTCTGTACATGTGCAATGTTGTATCTTCAAAAGAATGGAAAAAGGGAGATAGTTAACTGTTTTATCCTACAAAATATTAAGTTATGAATATATTAATGCCAATTGTCAAAATTAAAAAAATAGAAGCTCAAATGCTATATGTGAATAATAAGTCTACTTGGTCAAATCGGGACCACCTAATGTACAAAGCATTGTTAGGTTACTTTTAACATATTCCCAAACTTTAATTTGTGATATATATGTTTCTTTTATTATCGTTATTTTATTGTTATTATCAAAATTAAATCATTACAAAACCACATACCACTGTAATTTACCTGAGTAGAGAATTTGTTTAAAATGCATAAAGATAATATCAAATTATTCGATTATATTTAATCGTCTGAAATAGCTGCTTATTTTCGCGAAGTAGATCCAATTTTTTTTCCATATGCTCACAACCTTGCATATGTTATAACTTGTGAATAGGAGTTATTCCCCTTTAGTTTCCTATACTCTAGTATTGACAGACAGGGGGCACCTGCTGAAATGACGTTTGAACGTCCTTGACACCATCCAAACACAGGTAGGCTAAGTAAGACAGGTGTATATGGCGACGCAGAGAGACGGCTGCATAAGTAACACAGCGGAAATGGACATAAATTGAGACCAGGGAGTGGATATTAAAACGGAAACAGGAAATGTAAGCTTGATTTTATTTTAACCTAATGGATTTACAACGTAAACAAGCTGTGAATCGGACAGTGCAGTTCATGATCACTTGGCCACTGGTCGGTACAGTAGTGATTTTAGTGTGTTATCACAACAATGTCTATTAGGCGAGTCTGTTTTGTGATTTGTGAAGAGTGTGAATCTTACATCCATGGTAATTTTAAATTAATATCAGTCACACTGTTAGTTGTGTATGCCCGCATACTATTTTTGTTGTTAGGTTTATTTTAGGGATGTTTTCGTGTGAACGCCATCATAAACATAAGTGGATCGTAGACAGTATCAGTGGATAGTAGACAGTATCAGTGGATCGTAGACAGTATCAGTGGATCGTAGACTGTTTTAAATGGATTAGCAGTAACACTTTCCACTATAATAGCAAAAATATTTACCAGACGACAGTCAAAACGTCAGGGCCTATAGGAAATATATGTAACCGAGGTCACCTTTTCACCAGTTGTCAATAGGAGTCGAACCCAAGGCTGAAGATTATGGCTAGCCTAGGTTACTTACTTGACCGGTGCCCTTTTGATTTCGAGCTGAAGGGATATTCCCACTGTCCAAGTCAAAAGCAAAGCGACCACAATTGTTCACCACCGTGACTTATGTAAGACAAGTTTTTTGGTTTTAATCAGGTTGTGTATTGTTCTGAGGCCAATGAACAATTTAAGTCATTTAATTAGGTTGCGAGGTTATTTTTCACATACATTTATACAATGCAGACTGAATGCAATATTGTTGTATTTCTTATTGAAAGCTTAATGTTTTTTTACAAACTTAAACATTTTGTTGTTGGTGGTCCCCCTTAAGCTGAAACACTTACACAGTCATGGTTTTGTTTCGATGTGAGATGGAGGCATATATAATACAAAAATTAGACTTGTTACAAATTTGGCAGATTGAAATTGTACATATGATTATGGTTGCCTTCTAGCTTCGTGCTAAAGGGAATTTCCCTTAATTAGCTCAACTCGTAGAGCAGCCGACTGGGTGTCATGGGTTCGAACCCTGGTGGAAGCACACTAGCTATACTTTCTTTTATGTTACACAAAAATGAGTGATATGACCTCCAATTTCTTATATACCTGATTAAAATTGGAGGATAAATAAATCATACAAAGCATCAATTTCAAGGTTCATTATATAAGCTATCATAAATTACTGATCTGTCCAAAACAAATCACTTGAAATCATGAAATTCTCTTTAAACTCAGATACACCGGTCAGACTTATATATAATAAACACATGTACCAGGTATAGCCATTGATCTTTTTAAATATTTTTCTATTAGGCCTAAGTACATGTATGACGTCAGAAATGATTGTTGCATGGCATTATGATGCATGTTTTACAAAGAAACACATGTCTAGGTGATACATACTAAACTAACACTCATTCTATATATTTGACTTACATGCAGGTACAGGTAATTGGCAAGTAGGCCACCTTTGCTTATATAGTCATATTTTGGCTATTTCCCAACTGTGGCAGAGAAGGCCTTTTTATCACATACCCAGGTTGAATTCTCACTTCATAAATTAGTTTATCATATACTTGTCCATGATATGAGTTGTTTGTATATGTGTGATACTGCTATCTGTACATTAAAAGGCTGGGCCATATCCCAGACCAATTACTGACTCGTCTGTCTCATTCAGTGACCTGTCTGTCTCTTTCACTGACCTGTCTGTCTCTCTCACTGACTCGTCTGTCTCTTTCACTGACTGTACATTAAAAGGCTGCGCCATATCCCAGACCAATAACTGACTCGTCTGTCTCTTTCACTGACTGTACATTAAAAGGCTGGGCCATATCCCAGACCAATTACTGACTCGTCTGTCTCTTTCAGAGACCCGTCTGTCTCATTCAGTCACCTGTCTGTCTCTTTCACTGACCTGTCTGTCTCTCTCACTGACTCTTCTGTCCCTTTCAGTGACCCGTCTGTCTCATTCAGTGCCCTGTCTGTCTCTTTCACTGCCTCTTCTGTCTCTTTCACTGACTGTACATTAAAAGGCTGCGCCATATCCCAGACCAATAACTGACTCGTCTGTCTCTTTCAGTGACCTGTCCGTCTCTTTCACTGACTCGTACGTCTCTTTCACTGACTCGTGTGTCTCTTTCACTGACCCCTCTGTCTCTTTCACTGACCCCTCTGTCTCTTTCACTGACTGTACATTAAAAGGCTGGGCCATATCCCAGACAAATAACTGACTCGTCTGTCTCATTCACTGACCTGTCTGTCTCTCTCACTGACTCGTCTGTCTCTTTCACTGACCTGTCTGTCTCTCTCACTGACTCGTCTGTCTCTTTCACTGACTCTTCTGTCATTCAGTGAATCGTCTGTCTCTTTCACTGACCCGTCTGTCTCTTTCACTGACTCTTCTGTCTCTTACACTGACCCGTCTGTCTCTTTCAGTGACTCGTCTGTCTCTTTCAGTGACCCGTCTGTCTCATTCAGTGACCTGTCTTTCTCTTTTAGTGACTTGTCTGTCTCTTTCAGTGACCCGTCTGTCTCTTTCACTAACTCTTCTGTCTCATTCAGTGACCTGTCTTTCTCTTTCAGTGACTCGTCTGTCTCTTTCAGTTACCCGTCTGTCTTTTTACCTGACTCGTCCATCTCATTCAGTGACTCATCTGTCTCTTTCAGTGACCCGTCTGTCTTTTTCACTGACTCGTCTGTCTCTTTCACTGACCCATCTATCTCTTTCAGTGACTCGTCTGTGTCATTCAATGACTCGTCTGTTTCTTTCAGTGCCCCGGTTGTCTCTTTCACTGACTCATCCGTCTCATTCAGTGACTCATCTGTCTCTTTCAGTGCCCCGTCTGTCTTTTTCACTGACTCGTCTGTGTCATTCAATGACTCGTCTGTTTCTTTCAATGCCCCGGTTGTCTCTTTCACTGACTCATCCGTCTCATTCAGTGACTCATCTGTCTCATTCAGTGACCTGTCTGTCTGTTTCACTGACTCTTCTGTGTCATTCAGTGACCCGTCTGTCTCTTTCAGTGACCTGTCTGTCTCTTTCAGTGACTCATTCTGTCTCTTTCACTGACTCGTCCGTCTCATTTAGTGACTTGTCTATCTCTCTCACTGACTCTTCTAGATCTGTGTCATTCAGTGACCTGTCTGTTTCATTCAGTGACTCATCTGACTCAATCAATGTCCCTTCTGTCTCTTTTACCGACTCTTCTGTTCCATTCAGTGACTCGTCTGTCTCTTTCACTGACCCGTATGTCTCTTTCAGTGACTCTTTTGTCTCATTCAGTGACCTGTCTGTCTCTTTCAGTGACTCGTCTGTCTCCTCACGGACTCGTCTTTCTCTTTCACTGACTGTCTCTTTCAGTGACCTGTCTGTCTCTTTCAGTGACTCATCTCGTCTGTCTCATTCAGTGACTTGTCTGTCTCCTCACTGACTCTTCTGTCTCATTCCGTGACTCGTCTGTCTCCTTCAGTGACTTGTCTGTTTCCTCACGGACTTGTCTGTCTCTTTCAGTGACTCGTCTGTCTCCTCACGGACTCGTCTGTCTCTTTCAGTGACTCGTCTGTCTCCTTCAGTGACTCGTCTGTCTCCTCACAGACTCTTCTGTCTCTTTCACTTACTCTTCTGTTTCATTCAGTGACTTGTCTGTCTCTTTAAGTGACTTGTTTGTCTCTTTCATTGACTCTTCTGTCTCATTCAGTGACTCTTCTGTATCTTCCAATGACTCTTCTGTTTCATTGAGTGACTCGTCTGTTTCCTCACTAACTCTTCTGTTTCATTCAGTGACTCGTCTGTCTCTTTCAGTGACTCTTCTTTGTCTTTCACTGACTCTTCTGTCTCATTCAGTGACCTGTCTGTCTCTTTCAGTGACTCATCTGTCTCTTTCAGTGACTCTTCTTTCCCTTTCACGGACTCTTCTGTCTCATTCAGTGACCTGTCTGTTTCATTCAGTGACTCGTCTGTTTCATTCAGGGACTTGTCTGTTTCATTCAGTGACCCGTCTGTCTCTTTCACTGACTTTTCTGTCTCATTCAGTGACCTGTCTGTCTCTTTCAGTGACCCATCTGTCTCCTCACTGACTCTTCTGTCTTTTTCACTGACTCTTCTGTCTCTTTCAGTGACTCTTCTGTCTCTTTCACTGACTCTTCTGTCTCTTTCAGTGACTCGTCTGTCTCCTCACTGACACTTCTGTTTCATTCAGTGACTCGTCTGTTTCATTCAGTGACCCGTCTGTCTCTTTCACTGACTCTTCTGTCTCATTCAGTGACCTGTCTGTCTCTTTCAGTGACCCATCTGTCTCCTCACTGACTCTTCTGTCTCTTTCACTGACTCTTCTGTCTCTTTCA